TCAATAGTAAGATCTAATCAATTTTAAGTAATCATACTTGGGAATTTACTGATCTTCCTCCAAGAAATAAACCTTTAGGATCAAAGTGGGTCTTTAAAAGAAAAATGAAAGCTAATGAAACTATTGACAAATATAAGTCTAGACTTGTAGTCAAAGGATATAGACAAAGAGAAGGTCTAGACTACTTTGACACATACTTTCCAGTAACAAGGATAACATCAAATAGGATGTTAACAGCACTAGCGCCAGTGTATGATCTTAAAATCCAGGAAATGGATGTAAAGACAACCTTCTTAAATGGCGAGTTGGAGGAAGAAATTTACATGGAACAACCTGAAGGGTTTGTAGTTCATGGTAAAGAAGAAAAAATGTGTAGACTTGTGAAGTAGCTTTATAGGCTCAAGCAAGCACCCAAGCAATGACATGCTAAATTTGACCAAACAATGTTGGCAAATGGAAGATTAACGAATGTGACAAGTGTGTTTATATAAATAAATATTTCGAATTATGAATTCATTGTTTGTCTGTATGTTGATGACATGTTAATAATGAGTAAAGATATTGACGATATAAATGCTACTAAGCACATGCTGTCCAGCAAGTTCGATATGAAGGACTTAGGAATTGGTGATTTGATCTTAGGGATCGGGATTACTCCTCAGGGACTAGCATTATCTCTATCTCATTATATTGAAAGAGTATTGGATAAGTTCAAGTACTTGAATTTCAATGTTATTAAAACTCCAATTGATTTAAGATTTGCCTTTCAGAAGAATGCAGGTGAAAGTGACTCTCAATTGGAATATGCCGAGTGTTAGGAAGTTTGATGTATATTATCAATTGTATGCGACCAGATATAGTATGTGCTATTAGCAAACTGAGTAGGTTCACTAGTAATCCGAATCAAACTCACTGGATGAAAATGAAACGTGTGTTGGGGTATTTGAAACATACACAGCACTATGATTTGCATTATAATAAATATCCTGCTATGATTTAAGGATATAGTGATGCAAATTGGATCATCGGGTCAAATGAAGTAAAATCCACAAGTATTTATGTGTTTACACTTGGTGGAGGAGCAGTCTCTTGGAAATCGTCCAAACAGACATGTATCGCTCGCTTCACAATGGAATCCGAGTTTATTGTTTTAGATAAGTTTGGTGAAAAGTTGAATGGCTTCGGAATTTCCCAAAGGATATTCTATTTTGGCCCAAACCTGTGGGGCCTATTTGCATACATTGCGATAGTCAAGCAGCAATAGGTAGGGCAGGGAGCGTCATGTACAACGCTAAGTCTCGTCAAATACGACGAAGACATAACACCATAAGGCAACTGCTCTCTATTGGAATTATCACAATTGACTATGTGAAGTCAAGCGATAATGTGTCAGATCCACTAACGAAAGGCCTAGTGAGAGAGACAGTTGAATGATCATCTAAGGAAATGGGTCAATGATTTAGGACAAGTCAGCATGACGGTAAATCTATCTAGCAGACTGGAAATCCCAAGAGCTAGATTCAAGGAGAAAAACAAAGTTGTGGCTGAAGATTCGACATTGTCAATTAACTCAATTCATTCTCACGATGAAGACAATATTCAAGAACAAGATTAAGACTTTAAGGCTTGTTAATGAGTTAATAAAGCTAAAAGTTTTTAATGATTTGCTAAGTTTGACAGATTTGACCAAATAGTTTATCTATGAGATGATACGATTAGAAATCATTTATGTGACTGTGAAGTGTAAGCCACTTCAAAGAGAATTTTATGTCAAAAGCATGTTCTCTATACACTCATGAAATCACGAGGTGTTCATGACTTAAACGAGCACAACGTAAGAACCATAAATAGTAAAGGGTTAATTGTGTGACATATAGTTGTCTAGGTATACACCAAAGCTCAACGTTCAAAGTTATCTCATCTATCAGTTGACCGAGTATATCTGACATAAGTTTACTATGGAATGTCCAATGGGAAACCTACTTATCCAGATGCAATTAATCCTTGCATGTAAAGTAAACATTTTTCCATGCATTCCTATGTTATGATCATTCCCCATTAATGTGGGGGATTGTTGGGTATGTAGCAAGAATTAATGGAAAATGGAGGAAAGATGAAAATAGAGGAACTTGAATAGTTGGATACTTTAAAAGTCTTTTTATACTTTAGTGAAAAGGCATTTGTCCCTCTCGGTGATGGAAAGAAAAATATGAGAGTTTAAATATAGAAACACTCCTATTAATTGTTAAAATAATTGGAAAGAGGGACTCCCTCGCGTCGTCGTTGTCGCTCGCTCGGCTATGGCTTCGACTTTGAAAAATGATTGAGAGATTATTTTTTTTGACAAAGTTTGTTTTAATTAATTAATTAAATTAAATTAAATGGCCAAAATGTTTTATTGAAACCTTTCTCGATTTTATTTGAATCTTCCACCGCTTGGAAATGTCTATTCTGAAAGGTTGCAACTTTTAGGAACAGCTTGGACCGTTTGAAAGGTTGAAAACTTTCATTAATGGTCCTGTAGATTCTGAAAGGGTTGCAACCTTTCGGAAGTTGTTCCTCTTGCCTATAAATACCATTCATTCCTCAGAATATTTCCTTACAAATTTTTCTTATTTCTTCTTGTTCTTCTGCACAAAAATGTTTTTGTGTACTTTACTGTTATTGAGTGGTTCGCTGACACCAGAGTCTTTGGTATCTACACGCCGGTGATTGAGATCATTTTATCCTGAGAGGACATATTCCAAATCAAACCTTGAGTACTAGAGGGGAATAATTTTCTTAAAGGAACACTATGAATTCAGTGGACTTGATCTTTTTCTGTTCAAATTTTTTCCAAATTTTGGTACGTTACAGATTTTAGTTTTTTCTGAATTAATTTTGTTCATATTTCGTACAGATTCAGTAAACTTTGGTTACTTCGTGTTTCTGCAAAATTTTATCAGAATCAATAATTTTGTTTTTTCAAACACAGATTGACAACACTCAATACATTCAACGTTTTGAGGCATAGTTTTCTATGTGTTGCATCCTTTTATGATGTAGTATATATACTCAAATTCTTGGATAGTGATGTTGCAGTAGTTTCGGTTAGCACTCGATGAGTACTCCTCATTCCATGTATTTTTTTTAACAAAGTACGCAATACTGTTGAACGAGTTTATGAATAATAGTTTTCATTGGTCTTTGAAATCAAAGTTTGTGATTGTCTCTACCTTTTATAAGTAAATTCTTATTTAATGAATTCGATCTTATTTTTTTCTCCAATTATCATGAATTTCTTAACCCTACAACGAGTATTTTGAAATTCATGACGATTTGACCTAAAGGGTTTTAACAGAATGAACTATGCATTGTGATTCTATACCTCATTTACTATTCGTATTAATTGATTTCTAATGGTTGCAAACTTTAAAACCTACATGGATTTGACTTATTTGAATAAAAAGTGAAAAATCTGAAAAAATAGTGAATTGAATCAGAGGGAGAATGGTACCTACCTAGTGATACTATTCAGAACCCGTGGAAAGATGGTTAGTGTATGGTAATTACCACTAGGGGAAGTAAAGCACTTTCGGGTCCAGTGCATGGAAGTATTGAGTAGGAAGGATATGTTGAAACGTCATGACCAGAAAAATAGATGTGATGATATTCATCTTATCCCATCAAGACAAGTCAGCTTAAAATCCAAATATCACAAGCTATGCGGAAGTAAGAGATATTAAAATCTAAAAATCTCATAAGTGCGGATAACTAATTCAACTTAATAAAATCCCTAAAACCTGGTTTGTAACGTGTATAAGCCTTTAAAGTAGTACAATTGAATCAAAAGAAAGATACAAGCCTCAAATGACATTATTTTTAGAATAGAAGAAGAACATAAATAAGGAGTCGCTACCCAATTTTAGAAAAATAACACCCTTTAAAATTCACAAATATGGGTCCAACTGAATTCGTTTTTACAAATTGAGGAGGAGACAAATAATATACAATTAAAGTAAACATGCAATATAGACAAAGAATAAAATGAAGTCATCATATGAGAAACGACATAATGTTTACCTAACAATAACAATATATATAAAAATATAATTTGAATGTCTGTTGGAGCTTCTTTGAGAAGCAACTCTGGATACCTGTAAAAACACATGGTGATTGTGTGGTTGGTTTCTCACGAGCTCACCGAAGCTCAAAGCCAGAGTAGATAGAGATAGATAAAAAAAAAAAAAAAAAAGAGGGAAAAAGGGGCTTCATTGGAAGGGCCATCAAGTGGTTTTGGTTGTTTCTGTTGTAGCTCAAAGCTAAGGGAGAAGACAACTAAAATGGAAGAGAGGTTTTAGGGTTTTGCCCATCACAAATTTAGAAAAAATAATCCCTACTACTTTTTGTGGTTAAATAATATTTATATAGAAAATAAATTTCATTTATATAATATAATGAGTTCAAACCGTGAGCTCAAGATCGTGGACCAAAGTCAATGATTAATAAAATATATGTGTATTAATATATATATATATTCTCAGATTTTGTTTAAAATATTAAAATAAATATTAACAAAATAAAACCAATGTCATGTAAAATGGATGCAATTCAAGAAAGAATTATGATTAAATCAAATAGAGGCAACATTTTCAACATATTCAACTAACTATGATAAAAAAACTATTAATATAATCAAAATAAACTAATAAAATCTTAAGATTTTGAAAAATAAAAATAACTATTGATAAATTTATTCAAAAGCATATAATTCTGAAATGTTAGGTCAAAATTAGGTGTCAACACCTCTCTCTTAAGTTCTGCTTTAGGCCCCCAATCCTGTTGAGCTGGCGCTGCATGTACTTCTTTTGCTATTTTTGTAAATACATAAATATATATATTCTCACCCAAATTATAATGTAGCTTTTAGATGCTATTTTGGTTTCTCAATTTTTAACGTTTTTCATATTATACGTTATTATTTATTCTCAATCATTCAATCGATACATACAATTACTGAATCAACATCAATAATAAGCACTTTTATTACATTATTTTGCATCACAAACAATTTGACAAGTACAAAGACTTTGATTGCTTCCCGAAGCAGTACAAACACAACTATGAGGCATTTTACTTGCTGGCCAATGAAATACAGCTTGATATCCACAACTAATATTAGCACATACGTCATTAACTGTGAAAGTTCCTGGACAAAATTTAGGATCATCACCTGATACAAAATAATGAAAAGAGTACACATCAAACTATATGATTAAAAAGATAAATGATGAAAATAAATATTTTCAGATTGTAGATAAAATAATTTCATATGTGTTGAAGGAAAAAATGTACCTAGTGAATGGTCAAACAAAGTGAAAAAAATTGTCACAGCAAAAAGAAAAAGCATGATGAAACTCTTCATGTTTTCTTCCGTATTGAACTTTTATATGATATGAATGTATGAATTGTTGATGCACTTTAGAAACTTATATAGTGCCTAAAGGAAGATGTGTAATAATTTACTTTAGTCCAAATAAATCAGTAATTTAATAATAATAATATTAAGAATAAGAAAATCACACCACATATTTAATTAAGAGTTAATATTACATCTTTAAATTTACTATTTATTAGTTACTACTAATAAAGCATTAATAACGGTCTTAACAAATTTGTATTAATTTATATAATTATTAATTTTAATTTATTAAGAAATTATTAAATAAAGCATTAATTACACGTCTTAACATATTTGTATTAATTTATACAATTATAAATTTTAATTTATGAAGAAATTATTAAATGTCAGCAACTCGGCATAATAAATGATAAAGGAAAAAGTAAAAAAGAAAGTCATGTCTTCCTTTTGTAATAACCAATTGTTATCTTTAAGGAATCTAAGACCTCATTTATTTTCACTTAATGGAAGTCTGAATCTAAATGGTTCAGATGTTAATAATTATGTGCATTTATTTTTTTACTGAAAAAAAATCTGGTAATAATTTTGAAAGAGTAATGAATCAAAACAGTGACAGTCTTATTATTATTCAAAACCTTTTAAAGATACTTTTATTTCAACAAAAAAAAATTATGCTCTATATTTTTTTCTTCAAAAAAAAGTTCAAAACTCTCATTCTTTAACTTTATTAATTATCCTAATTATTTTTTTAAAACGTTTAGTTTTTGTTCTTGCGGCTTGTTTATCAAAATATGATAAAATTTATTGTAAATTTTTATTTGACTAAAGCGCAAACAATCATAAATATGTATTTTTTGAAATCAAATGACTACATTGTTTTCTAACCATTAGTTTATATATAGGGCAACTTTCACATATAGCAAACAAAAAAATCATATTTGTATGCTATAGCAAAGTTTGCATAATTGCGCCCCATATCAAACATAAAACTGTATAATTCGCTATACATATACAACTGTATAATTCGCTGGCCTAAATTGCATAATTTGCTGGCCTATTTCGCTGCAATTGTATAATTCGCTATCCTATTTCACTACAATTGTATAATGCACAATTGTATAATTTGCTGCCTATTTCACTGCAATATTTGTATAAAATTTGCTTTGCATACAATTGAATTGAAGTAAAATGTATGTATATTGCATAATTATAAGTGTATAGGAAGAAGATATATGTTTTCTCTCACTTTATACAAAAATAGAAACACAATATATACACTTTTGTTGTATAAAGCGAGAGAAAATTGCATTTCACTGCAATTGTATAATTCGCAATTGTATAATTCATTGGCCTTTTTCGCTGCAATATTTGTATAATATTTGCATTTGTCTACAATTGAATTGAAGTAAAATGTTAGTAAATTGTATAATTAAGTGTTTAGCACGAAGATATATGTTTTTGCATGTGTATATACAATTTTCTCTCGCTTTATACAAAACAGAAACATAATTCATACACTTTTGTGTATAAAGCGAGAGAGGCGAGCAGAGGGAGAGTGGCGAGCGAGAACGGGAGAGTGGCGAGCGAGATTTTTGAGAGAGAGGCGACTTACAAACTTTGTCTAACGTATGCTATGGAGCACAATTAAATCAAACCGTAGCTACTCCATTTATTTTAGGTTATTAGTTTGCTATTATATACAATTATCCCTTTTATATATAACCACTAAGTGTTCATATTTAGATACAAGATCTTAATCATTCAGACGCGCATCTTGATTCAGACATCTTAATCTTAATGAAAACAAACAAGACATAATTTTATATTGCAGAATGTGCCTCCCCCCCCCCCCCCCAACCCCAAACGTTAGTAATTCTTCTCTTTCCCCATCATTAACAATATTTCTTCACCATATCTCCATATTCAATAAAAAAAAAATCTTTTTGTCTATTTATCTATCTATATTCACAATTTTAATTGAATTGATATGAAATTGATATAATATGTGTATATATTTGGTATGATTCACATACCTTTATGTACGTTCTCATTTTTTATAATTGATATCAAATAATAATTATGAAATTGATATACTATGTGTATATATTTGACATGAAGCTGACATGAATTTGGTATACTTTGTGCTTGTTCTCACTATTCATAGTTGTATCAAATAACAATTTTAATATATAATGTTGTGTATAACATTGGTATGAAATTGATATACTCTTTGTATATATTTTGACATGAAGCTGATATGAATTTGATATATATTTGTGTATGTTTTATAGTTAGTAACAAATATATGTAATATTTCAACCTAGAATGATATATAGCCACTGGTTTTCTTACACCAACATGAGTTTTTGATGGTCTGAAGAAATTCTTAAGTAGAGCCGTCAATATGAGCTAGGCCCATTGGATTGGTTTATCCTAACCCGGGATTTAATAGGTCTAGACTAGATTTTTGGAGGTCATTTAAGAAAATGGTTTTTTAGCCCGACCTGAATAAGCCTGTTGATTGTGGGGCTTGAGAAATATAGGTAGGACCGGCCCGTGGGCCAATAAAAATTGATTAAAAATATAAAATAATATTAAAATTTAAAATTAAAGAGAGTCCAAACTCAAAACAATTAGGTTAATATTTCTATTTAGATATTTATATTTTTTTCTTCAAAAACATAATAAATACTATAAAGATAATTTTATTGGATAATTTCAGAGACCTGATTTCGCTCTATAACAGTGATTTTCCTTGTGATTTTACGATATTATGTCTACCTCCCTTATTTTCATTTACTTGTCATCATTCTCTAAATCTATTTATAATAAATATAATTTAATTTAGATTTGATAATTTTACCCTTTTTATATTAATTTCTTCATATTAATAAATATTATATAAAAACAACTTATTTAACAAATATTTTAAAAATAAATCAACATAAATACATGTATTTTATCAAACAAAGATCAAAGTCTTCATTCAAGCAGACTCACCATTTTCACCAAATATTAATTCTTCACATTCATTTCACCTTTATCAGTTCACGTAGATTTTTCTCCTACAATAACCCATCATTTTCCAGTAACAATTTCTTCAAATAGAAGATAAAAATTAACTCCTCAAGAGAGAAATTCGATAAGAACAATAAGATTTTGTTCTAATTAAACATTTTCACCAGCAAAAAAGACACATGATCCAACGAATAGAGATAAATCTTTGAACATTAGATATATACTTGCATATATAAGGGTAAAATTATCAAATCTAAATTAATTTATATTTATTTTAAATAGATTTAAAGAATGTTTACAAGAAAATAAAAATATGGGAGGTAGACGTTGTAAACCACAAGGGAGGTGAGTGTTACAAAACGAAACCTGGAGGGAATTCTCTGAAATTATCTCTAATTTTATTTGTAGATTTGATTAAGAAGTAGTAACATTAGCATCATGTAATGTTGTTTTGTCGATATTTATGTTAATATTTTTAAATTATAATTTATAATTTAATTTAATAATTATAAAAAATATAATTTTTAAAAAGTGGACTGGCCCGGCAAGCTTGTAGCCCATGTACTTGTGGGTTGGGCCAGCTGTTTTCTGGACCACACCTAAAATGGGCTAGCCCGACCTAAAATGTCAAAGCATGTATGAATTAGCCCGAATGGGGTGGGCTAGCCCATATTGACAGCTCTAGTCTTAAGCATATTGTTGTATATAACATTGATATGAAATTGGTATACTATTTCTATATGTTTTGACATGAATCTGATATAAATTTGTTATATATTTGTGTATGTTCTCGTTGTTTATAATTTATAGCAAATATATATAATATTTCAAGGTAGAAAGACATATACCCATTGATTTTTGTACACCAATATGAGTTTCTAATGATCTGAAGAAATTCTTAAGCGTAGAGCAAATTGGATGGACCACACATACCAAAAGAGTCTGCTCTTTGTCAAGTCAAAAACATTTGGCTTAAATCATATGCAGCACCTTAAAGTTGTCCGCATAATTCATTTAAACACCTCAATTAAGACTTGTACGTATTAGTCACTCTAAATGTTCAAAACGTGTGTCTATTAAGCACAAAATATTGATGTGGCGAATCAAGTGTATCTCACAGCCTAGTAGCGCGTAAATCTGTTCCCAACTTTTTTTTATTTTTTTTAGAATAAACTTTACTTTTTTTGGTCCTAAACATTAACTAAAATAACTAAAACTATTTTTTATTTAAAATAATGTTTTTAACCCATAAAGAAAGCATACCCACCCATCCTGACCCTACTCTTGTAGGCCATACCAATGATTGTCTTCTTCTTCACCCCATTTTAAGCTTTTCAAAATCAGTTTTCTTTTTCGTTTTATTTTTCACTCTTTATAAATGAAATTGAATGTGTTAATCGAATTTGCAACAAGAAAAAAACGAACATCGAAATGATAAAATTAACTTCTGTCCATCTTTATTTTCAGTCAATCAACAAACATTTTCAATCATTTATTTAAAATGATACCAGAACATTTAATATAATTCATTTGAATCCTCTTGATTTTTCTTCATTGTCAATTTAGAAATAATTTATCAATGTCAATTTATTTTTCATAAAAAAATCTCAACAATCACTCCATTAATTAATCGTGCTTCATAATTTATTTCACTATTTACATTAGACTTGACTTCAACAGCTTGTAGTTTATTACAAGAAAAAAAAATTAATCATTTCAAAGGAATAGAAAATGACAAGTAACTATGGATGAAGAAGAAGAAGAAGATAAGACAAATGAGTAGGTGCATGGATTTGGGGAGCGGGTGGAGGGAGATTTTCTTTTTTCTTCTTTTCATTGTCACCAAAATATCGAGATTTTTTGTTGAAATCAGGATGACCGGTGAAGGGAAGAAGAAGAAAGGTGGGTGGATGGGTTTGGGCGGGGATGGGGTTTTTTCTTTTTTTCTCCTTTTTTCTAATTAATTTTTTGGATTATTAATGGTTGGAGTTTTTATTTTCTTTAAA